TCCCCCAAAAAATTCATGGAAATTATCGTTATAATAAAGGTGAATATAGAAATTAATAATTATTTATTCACGAGAGAAATATTCTCATTCCCATGAAGCTTTAACTCGGCCATTCTGTCGGTTAACCGCATGTCTTAAGTTCCCCGGAAACCTCCATGTTTCGTTTATATAGATATGGGTCGACATAGGAATGAGGTTCTCGAATCCGGATCCTGTGGCACCTGGATTTGGGTCTCAGATCTAAAAACTAAAAAAAAAAAAATAATACTGTATAGTGAAAAAAATTTGTTAGATAAAACCTCAAGGGGCAAAATTTTATTCTGATTGGTATTAATTGCTACTTAAAATTCCATTAGGGGGCTTAGCCAATCAATTTCCGGGTTTGAATTTTAATAAAACTTTTTTCTCTTTGGTCTCTTTATTTGTATTTGAATACAAAAAGATAAAATTAAAGAGAATAAAACAAATAAAAAGGAATAAAAAAATAAAAATGAAAAAATAATAAAGACGAACAAAAAATAAGAAACGAATAAAACTACATATACAAAAGTCTGAAATAAAAATATAAGAAACAGATTAATTCGAATTTTGTGATAATAAATAGATTTTTTAGATTTTTACTATTTTTGAGTTTTAGTCTCAGAAAAAACGGTAGATTTATCACAATAATTGGAAAGAATTTGTACTAGAAAAACATACACAAGAAAAAAAGTTGATTGCAAAAATTTATCAAAAAGAATGTTTCCTGAGTAATTTTTTACATTGGGGAGTTTTTTTTCTCCGAGGGAATCTTTTTTTATTCATAGGGGTTATATTATTCCTAAGAGGTGTTCAGAAAACAAAGCTAATTTTTATGCCCGACGGACAAGCGAGAGGGAAAAAGATTTTGATTCGAGACGCGGTAAAATGATCTTCTATATATGGCGATATGTGTTCTACCTCTTCGGGGGTTTCAAAAAAAAAAAAAAAAAGGGGATGGCGACATGCAAGGCCATGGCCGGGGCAATATCGTACACACCCCACATTCAAAGAGCAGGGGGGGGAAAAAGTGTAGAGAGAGACGTGCAATCAATCATCAGTGGCACTGCTGCTACGCTCGCGGCCCTCATATCGGCTGTAACATAGAGTAAACATTTTTTACTTTGCCACGTTATTAATATTTGTCGCTACCCCTCTATATACACGATTCTCTCCTCTCTTTTATTTTAATATCAAACAAATTTAACCTCGCAAACCGCTAAGACAAAAGTAATTCTCGAATGTTTCTCCAAAGAACGATTTTTTTGTTTGAAAAATAACAGAAAACTTTTTTGAATTAATTTTTTTCTCTCTATACTATTTTTTTTGTCATTTAGATACATTTTCTTGGCATTATTGTCCAGTTAGCGTTGCTGCGCACGTAGAAGTAGCGACGCTTCGCCCACATTGCGTACGGTGCGCGCGCAGCATTAGCGTTACTTCCCCCCACTCTGCGTTCGCTGCGCGCGCATCACTAGTGTTGACACAGGTCAGAGAATTCGGAGAATTCAGTAAAAAGTCAGGGAAAGTAGAAATGGTCAGGGAAATCATGCGAAATTCAGGGTTTTTTATTAAAAGTATTGGAAAAAATTAAATTTTTAGAATTCAATCCCTTTTAAGACTCTTACTCTATTTACTGTAAAATATCCCGAATGGCTTCGTATCTAAAATAGAACTTCTTCTTCATACGTCATGCATCGAGAAAATAAAATTGGAATCGTTTCTGGCTTATAAATCTTGATTGCAAATCGTCCCTTGACCTTTGCGCGAATACGACTTCGTACGAGCTTATAGTAGCAACTGGTTGCTGTGGCAAGAATTAGCAATTAATCTTTTGGCTGCTATATATACTCACTCGTTAAAGGTGGGGTCTTGAAATCGATGGAGGAGAAGGGACTTGGAAGAGGATTATGCAAAACGATACAACAATTATACCGAATGGCTTTTCACTACTTATATTTAATATTTTGTCATTTATTTAACCTGTACGGTTTCTAATCCAGTGGGTTCGCTTAATATCAAGAGTAAAATTAAATTTCAAATTGTACTTGTTTATAGAAAATTTATAGAAAACCCTTTTGATAATTAATAATTATAGAACACTAATTTTTGTGTCGCTATAATTTTCAGTTTTTTTTTCATTTTTTTCAACTTAAGATAATATAATAATATAATATTAATATTTAAATTAATAGGTATATTTTGTAAATTTGGCCTATTATCTTTATTATTAATTTCTTTTTTTTTCTTTGAACAAAATTGTTTTTTTTCTTTTCACCGTAAAACGTCAGGTGTTAAAATAACGCCAGAATGAATTAAAATAATCTGCAACAGTTCAATCCCTCTAGGATTAAATTAACACCAGAAAGGATTAAAATAATCTATTTTGGTATTATTTTTAACTATGAATGAAATTTTACTTTAAATAAAACACTAAAGTCAACGATTTGTAAAAAATCAACGAATTTAGCTTCTCCAGGGAGAATAGTAAGTTAGTTACTAACTTACTAACTAACTAAGTAACATATTTACTAAATTCAATTGTGTCCAAAAATTTTAAAAAATTCTCGTCAAAATTTCAATTCTCTTTATAAATAATAAAATTCGTCTCTGATATTCAATTACTTTACAATATCTTAATCAAATTCTTGTCAAAATTTCAATTATTTTCAAAAGTTATCTAAAATTCAATGATTTTCAATATCTACTATTTCAATAAAATTTTCCAAAAGAATTCCATTATTAAAAAAAATTAAAATAAAATTCTACGCAAACATTCAATTATTTTCATAAATAATAAAAATTTTTACAGGAATTCAATTATTTACAAATTTTTTTATAAATTTCTACGAAATAATTCAATTATTTTCATAAATAATAACATTTTTACAGGGATTCAATTATTTTGATAAATAATAAAATTCTTCTGGGAATTCAATTATTTTCATAAATAATAAAACTTATTGCATAGTTTCAATTATTTTAAATGCAATTTTAATCGAATTCCTCGAAAAATGTAATTCTTCTTAAAAATTTTATTAAAATTCGTCCAAAGAATTTAATGATTTAAAAAATTTGTTGATAACATTTTTTATGAGAATTTAATTTCAAGAAACATGAAATTAATAAATTATTTATTTTTGTATTTAAATAATTGAATTCTCGTAGAATTTACTAATAAAAATGGTTATAAAAATGAATTTCAGTTAAAATTTTACATTATAATTAAATATTAAAAGCATTATAACGTGGATTTTTAGAAATAATTAAATTTTGAAAAAGTTTCAAATTAAATTCATTGAAATTCTTAATTTTTCATATTTTTGACAAACAATTCTGTAGAATTAATTCTTTTTAAAAGTTTAGTAGAATTTTTATTGAAATTATTTCAAGTTTTTATTTTTCAATATATATATTTAATTGCAGAATTTCTGAATAATTGAAATTTTGTAAAATTGAATTGTAGAATTTGAAAATTCGCAAAGAACTTTTTTAAGAACTATTAAAAATAATGAATTTATTGAAGAATTTTAGTTAAAAACACTAGAAAAAAATTTAATTTTAGAGAAGTTATAAATTATTGCAGAAATTCAATTATTTTCAAGAGTAATAAAATTCTTCTTAAGGATTCAATTATTTTTACTAATAATAAAGCTCATCGCAGCGTTTCAATTATTTTTCGCACAATTATAATTGAATTTCTTGAAAAAAATAATTATATTCATGCAAGTTTTAATAAAATTCGACAAACGAATTCAATTATTGAAAGATTTGTTAATAAAATTCTTTATGAGAATTGAATTTTGAGAAAGATTTAATTATTTAATAAATTATTTACTTTTGCATTTAAATAATTAAATTCTTGTAGAACTTTCTAATAAATATTGATTTTCATTTTATAAAAATGAATTTTAGTTAAAATTTTAGATTATAATTGAATAATAAAAGCAATTTAGCGTGAATTTTTAGAAATAATTGAATTTTGAAATTAATTTTTTTAAAAAAGTTTAATTGAATTTTCTTTTATATTATTTGAAATTTTTATTTTCTAATATGCATTTAATTAAAGAATTTAGGAATAATTGAAAATTCGTGAAATTGAATATTGTAAACAAATAGATTTGAAAATTGCCAAATAAAACTTTTCGAAAATTATTAAAAGTAATTGATATAAAGTAAAATTGTAGTTAAAAATTTTTGAAAATAATAATTGAATTGAAGTAATGAGAATAATTTTGAAGAAGTATAATATTCTTATAATATAAAATAATGATTTTATTACTTGGTCATCTTTAATTATTATAAAATATGAAGAAATCGATGACTCCGAGTCGAAGACTCGGAGTTATCGATATCTTCATGTCTTGTAGTTATAAAAAAATTTAATGAACTAAAATTTCATTCATTGTAAAAAATAAAACCAAAATTGATTATTTTAATCGTTTTTGGTGTTAATTTAATCTGCAATACTTTTTAATACTTCATGATTTACTGTGTTATAACTAAATCCTTGTTCCATTTGATCCGCAAATGGTTATATGCATTGAAGTTAGAAATCCAATAGAAAAAAAAAATTACATCTGCTGGGAATCGAAGCTGATTCAAATTGCAAACGGTTGGTGCCTTTTCCAACTGAGCTACTGTTGACAAAGTAGTAGATTTTTATTTTCTCGATTTCTTAAAAACTGTATTAATTCTAATTAACTTTTTTAATTACTAATTATCTGTATTAGTAGTACCCCTATTAATATTATAGTAATACTATTAGATATTATTAAATTATTATTATAAACTATTATTAATATTAGATATTAGTATTATTATTAGTATTACTATTACTATTACTATTTAAATAGTTCCAACCGACGTTTCTAATTTTCTGTTATTTCAAGTATTCCACATCTCAATTACTTATCACAAACCCAACAGATGTCATTTTCAATCTGAATAATAAGTTGTAATAAGAATTTTTTTTTGTCTAGAATTAGAAATCAAGAATGAAGAGGGGGAGATGGAAAACCAATCGTGTATGATAAATGGACACGGGTGATAATGGGGTCCTGATATCTCATATCCTGTAGAAGTGCGGAGAAGAAATGGCGGGACCCTAGGGACTTGCCTGATTTCTTTTGGGGTCCAGCTTGTGAGTGAGAGAGGAAGGAGAAGGTAGAGGGAGAGGAAGAGGCCGAAGAGCAGGAGGAGCAACACATCTTGCTTCCTAGGTTCAACACAGGACTTGCTCTCGTCGTTGGACCCTTGCTATTTATTTTCTAGGATTTCAGAGTCCGAAGCCATTAATCTCTTCTCTCTCTTGCAGCGTCAGTGGAGCGCGTCAGGCGACGTCGGGGTGCGTGGCGTCGTCGTTCCACTCTTAGCCACAGCCTCCTGTTTCCATAGAAAAGGGGAGGTGAGACCATGGCGTCCTTAATTCCCTGGAAAAAAAAATGTTGATACTTCAATTTTCCATTCACCATTAAATAATTCATTTTCTCTTCTTTTTAAGATAATAATTAAATCATGTATTTTTAAATACATTTATAAGTTTTTAAAAAAATGGAGTGTTTTATTTAATTCTTTTCTATAATAAAAATTATTATTAACTATAATATTAACTCTAATAATCTAATAATAATTTTGTCTTTAACTATAAAATCTGACAATTCTGTATTTCATTCATTCATTCTGTCGACAGTTTAAGCTTGGTTTTTGTGAATTCTTTATTCGTTTTTGTTTCTTTAAAAAATATTGTTTGACAAATCGAAAATATGCAAGTATTTTTCATGATTTATAATAAAATAATATTAGAAATTAAAAAATTTAAAAAAAAATTATGATTAAAAAATATACCGATTTTGTTTATTGTATGTTTTTTATATTATAAATTTCATTTCACTGATCTAAATTATGCAAATTTTTCACATTTTTATTTATAAAAAATAGAAAATTGTTAATTGTTAAAAAATTATGATTAAGAAATATAGGAAATATACCCATTTTATGCATAATTTTCATTTCTCAAGAACAATATTGTTCACAAAATCATTCTTTTCTTTTGGAAAAGAAACATTACATATTCCCGTTATTCTTAATATTTTTGTAGAAAATTCTCATAATAGAAAATTTTCATACAAGGAAATAATTTGCATCATTTTTAGTTTTTAATTAGAAATTTTTTAATAAAATTCAAAGTTTATTAAAAATAAAGGAAAAAAATGTTTATAATTTCTATTTGGCAATTAGAAATTTTAATTGAAAATGAAATTGAAAATTTTTGAATTTTTAGAAAATAAAGGAAAATATTTTACTCAAAAAAAAAAATGTTCTGTTACATTTATTTACGAATTTCTTTAATTGTAAAATTATTCGAAAATATCAGTAACTTTTTTTTTAAATAAATATTAAATAATAAATTATTATTTTTCCATAGGTAATTAAGAATTTCAAAAAATTTCTAATTCAAATCTCTTTGAAATTCAACAACTTAAAATAATTAAAGATAACCGAGTGATATAATCATTATTTTATATTATAAAAATATTGTTACTGTTACTAAATATTGTTAATTTTGTCCTTCAAAATTATTTTCATCATTTCAATTCAATTATTATTTTCTAGAATTTTCAACTAAAATTCTTCTTTAAATTAATTATTTTTAATAATTTTTGAAAAAGTTCTTTGAGAATTTTTGAATTCATTTAATTAAAATTTAATTTAACGAAAAATTAATTATTTGGAAATTCTTCAATCAAATGTAGATTAAAAAAATAAAAACTTCAAATAATTTTTAAAAAATTAATTGTCAGTTAAAAATTAAAAGTATGAAAAATTCAAATTTTCAAAAATTTAAATATCAAACCATTTCAAAATATAATTATTTCTGAAAATTTACGCTATAATGTATTTAATATTCAATTATAATCTAAAACTTTAACTGAAATTCATTTTTAAATCAATTTTTATTAGAAAATTCTACGAGAATGGAATTATTTAAATATATAAATAAATAATTTATTGAATAATTGAATGTTTCTTACAAATTAATTTTCATAAAGAGTTTAAACAACAAATTTTTGAATAATATAATTCTTGTAACCGATTTTAAAAAAACTTATAAGAAATAATTACATTTTTTGTGGAATTCGATCAAAATTGTAATAAAAATAATGGAAATTTTGTTATGAGTTTTATTATTTATGAAAATAATTAAATTCTCAGAAAAAATTTTATTATTTATGAAAAATAATTGATTCGCTCTAAAAAAATGTATTATTTATAAAAATAATTGAATTATTGCAAAGAAATTTATGAAAACTTTGTTAATTGAATTTCTGTAAAGTTTTTAATATTTTTGAAAATATTTCATTGTTTTCGTAGAATTTTACTAAAATTTTTTTAAAATAATTTTATTATTTATAAAGATAATTGAAATTTTGAATTAATTTTTAAATAATTTTTAACATAATTGAAGTTCTTTGCAGAATTTTATTACTTTTGTAAATAATTGAATTCTTTCGGAAAATTTTATTAATAAAATAGTAGATATTGAAAATCATAAAATTGAGGAAAATTTTTCAAAATAATTGAATTTTTGCCAAGTATTTTATTAAAATTTTTGCAAATAATTTAACCAGATAATAATTTTATTATTTATAAAGATAATGGAAATTTCGTCGAGAATTTAAAAAAATTTTTAAACATAATTGAATTTTTGTGAAGAAGTTTATCACTTTTGAAAATAATTGAATTTCTGCAATCATTTTAAAACTTTTCCAAAATTCAATTATTTTTAGTGATTTTAACTAAAATTTTTCAATAAATCCATTATTTTTAATCATTAATTAAATATATATATATTAAAAAAAAATTAACCTCAACTTCTTAAGATTATAATTTGCTTCCTAGGTTATATAGCGTCACTTTCTTGATAAAATTTTTTCTATATTTACAACTTCCAAATAAAACTATCATGTAGGAAATAATTATTTACAAAATTTAAATTAACAATCTGAGTTCAATTAGAAGGTAAAAAGTCATTTCATGCTGTTTCAAGTATAATAATAAATCGATCTTATAGACTAGTTTTTCGAAGTGAAAGAAAATAGTTCCCTTTAGGCTACTGCGAGAATATGAAGGAAGCGGATATTACACTGCAATAGTTAGTTTAATTATTTACAGCCTACAGTGTAAAATAATTTAAGAGCGGCTTGGCATTTTTTTTCTTTCTTTTTTTTTTTTTTTAAACGTTGCATTGACGTAGAGTGTATTGAGAGAATGTCCCACAGGAGAAAATCGAGGGGAGAAAGGAAGAATATCTAATAAGAGCAAAGAGCTCATCTATCCTCTATACAGTTGGTGCCTGGAGGCTGTCACCGTGGGCGAACACGCATAGTAGAAAATGACTTGATTTACATATATAGCAATAATATCAGTGCCATGCGAAAATAATTTAAATATTTCTCCTATTTTTTTGCTTCAAATAGAAAATTAAAATCTTTTTTTCTCTTTCCTCTTCTTTTTCTTCTTTTTTCCTCTTTTTTTCTTCTTTTTTTCTTGTTCGTCTTTTTAAAATAATGCTTGTAAAGAATTATTATTCTTTAAAAGTATTATTTAAAGAACATTGAAAATATGGAAAAATTTACTTGGAATAATATTTGCAATTGCGTAGTTGTATTTAATTCGCAGAATTTCGTAGGAAAGAGATTTATAATTAATCAAATTCATAAGATTCACAATAAAAAGTCATTTTTCTTTTCAGTTTTATCACTTTTGTGTACATTATTAGCAGGTATATTATACAATAAAAGTTGCTAATTTACATAAACTATTTTATTATTATCAATTATTAACACATGTAAGCAAGGTCGCATTTTATTAAATCAATAAAATTCATTTATAATTTCTGGAAAACGAAAACACTTTTTGATTGAATTATATAATTTTTATATTTTTATTTACATTTATTTATATTTATATTCTTTAATATATAGTTACATATTGTTTATCAGTCATTAAATATTGTCATCAATATATAAAATATATAAAAGTGACGAATAATAAAATAAGTCGTTTTTTTTAAAAACAAAAGTTCATTTTCTATTATATAAAATTAAAGACTAAAGAAGTCAATAATTTCATTTTCTGCCTCGGGATGTGTACGTCTACATGTCCAATATTTGGAATCTGTAGATCTCTCTACGCAGAATTCTGTAAAAGTGTTGGAAAAAAATTTGTTACCTATTGGAATTTTTTTAACATTGTTTTTAAAAATAAAATAAAAAAAGTTTATTTTTAAGTTTTAAAAAGTTAAAAACAAAAATTGTTTACCAAGACAGTTGCGAGAATTTCGAAAAGGTGCACCATCATATCCGGTACAATAGTAAAAGGTAATTGTACGTGGTTTGCAACATTCATCTATGTGAAAGAAATTCAATTTAGAAAAATATAAATTTTTTAGTAAAAAATTATTAAAATTGTATAAAAAATATTATTATTCTTAATTGAAGATTTTTGTGTATGAACATTATTATTAAAATTTTCTTATGAGCATTCAATTATACTTCGACGAAAGTCGTTGCGGACTAATTTTTGAAAATATTATTTATTTTTTATATATTTTACCATAGAAAATAAAAAATTTTTTAACTTTAATTTCAAATCTTCTGAAATTCAATTATTTCAAAAATTATAGTAGTAATTGTTTCAAAATTTAATTATTTTCTACAATTTTTATAACTACAGTCGAACCTGTCGAAAAGAAACTCTCGTTTTTAAATTTTTTTTCTATTCAAAAATGTCAAACAAGAATTATTTTCCGTTAGTTCCAGAATATTGTAAAAAAAAAATTACAAAATTAAATTTAAAAAACAATTTTTTAAGTATTTTTTACTGTAAGAAAATTTAAAACATCAATTTGCATTCCGACAGGTTTCATTGTATTTTTTAAATTTTAATTAAAAAATAATTTTAATTAAAATAATTTTAATTAAAATACTTTTCTAAATTAATTATTTTTAAAAATTTTCCGAAAATTTTTAGATAATTAAATTATTATTTAAATTAAATTACTATTAAGATTATTTTATTTTTTATTA